TAGATGATAATTTGATAGGTTATACTTTCCTTAAATGGTTTGATAGTCTATGCTTAATAAATCTAAGTTGAAATATGATAAAAAGAGAATAGTTTGTATTTTGTAATTGAGATTAGTTAGTGGATTAAATTCTAGATTTCTCATATCTTAATTGAATCCTCCATCTTGACTTTCTTTAATTTTTCTTTTTATTCTTGATTTTATTTCTTGATTTTATTCTTTCTTCTTTCTTGCCTTGTGATTTTATTTATTCTTTGATTCTTATTTCTTTTCTCTAAAATTCAATTTATTGTTACTTGCACATAAATCAAAACAACCACTCATCATATCTCTCTCCACAATCACACTTATTCTTTAATCCTATTTTTTCACGCACAAAACATAAGAACCAATTCTAATAATCTCTTAAAATCACCTTCCTCGTGGGATCGATAACTTTTTATACTATAACTTGATTAATTGTGCACTTGTAATTTTGGTACATAATTATGCCGCATCAAGTTTTTGAATCTCTTCCACTGCTTAGGAGGATGATTACGACCCCCAGCATGATAAACTGCTTGGGATTCATTCAACGGGCCTAAGCGTTCTTTAACCAGGACTTTGCCTCGACCCACGTGTGAAGGACCGAGACGATCCGTGATCTTCATCTTAAATCGGGATAAGTCCACACTGCAGTGGGGCTCCATCGGAGGTGCTTGATTTGTTAGGATAGTAACAGGGGTTGTCGAAGACTTAGATGGGACTACAGGAGGTGAACCAGGTTAAAAATGAACCGAACCAGTCTGGTTCATGCGCGAACCACCATTTGGTGGCTCGGTTCTGGCCGAGCCACCATTTGGTGGCTCGGGTCTGACCGAGCCAGGAGATGGTTTTTTCGCTTTTCGATGACTTCGGGCACCGTTCGGGTTGTTTTTGACACCGTTTTGAACTTTGACCTACATACTTGGTATAGTTTTGGTGGCTTCTTGACCACCTCTTCTTGCTTCAGCTTCTGCGCTTCTTGCATGAGAGCATGTGCATGCGCAAGTAACGTACGACGTTTCTGGATCCGCTCTTCGAGGGTTGAACGCGTCCCTTTGACCCATTTATTCATCGTTGACTTGGAGGAGGAGTCTCCTGCTCGCTGTTGCGATGCTTGGCACATTCTAGACTTCAAATCCGCTTCATAGCGGATTCCATTAACTGGCTCCAAAGCTTTGGCCAGTTGGCGCGCAAGGCGTTGGCGTCATCTCTGACGTGCTCTCTTTTATAGAGTGGGCACGTAATCAGCAGTCAACTCATTCCTCAAGGGGTTCAGATCTACGGCTTCGGCCTCGTAGGATGCCGGCGGGGCATTGCGAGCCACAAGTGCAGCAGCGGTGAGGAGATCTCTTTCTTGGATTTTTGAAGCCGAAGTCCAATGAGCTTTCTTAAAAGTTGCCCTCCTGCACATGCGAGGAGGGGTGGATCTAGAGGAGGAGGACAAGTACTCCTCGTACTTCTGCTGGTTGAACTTATATTCGACCTCTTCTTTAATCGGGATGAGGATCCAAAGTTGCGACACATCAGCCTTCACAGAAAGGCTGTCGGCTCCCACTGTGGTCGCCAGTGTGTTTGGGTGGAAAGTTGATTTCATTGAAGAGTTCATTACAACTTCAAACGTTTATAACAAACTCAAGAAAATAGCCTTTTTATAAGACTTTTAATCAATAATTATAACTTCCTTTCAAACTATACACAATAGATGTTTATCGCCTATTGCTTGTGCGTGATCGTTGCTGGTGCTGGGATTTATCCATGGACCACCTACAGATCAGATCCGGTTAGCAGAAAATTGATAATCAATGATCTTACTTCACGAAGGAAGTAATCACAGCAGCGGTAATCTCGACCAAGCGAGATTACGACTCTACTCGAGATTAAGACCAAGCTTAAATCCGGAGGAATAGGGGAAAACAAGTCTCAGATCTCTCGAACTCTCCCTTTTTTATTGACAGTACTTCGCACTCTCCAATCTGTAGAAATGAGCCCCCAAGCTTGTATTTATAGGCTTTGGTTGGGGGGTTTTGGATAAGAATGATGGATTCCACCTTATCTTCAGTTAACAACCGTATAACTACATTTAGAGATAACATTTAGGTAGTTAGGAACCTCTGGAATAGAAAAAATCCAGGGAGAGCCCGTCAAAACCGCCAAAACGTGTTTTCGGATCAAATCTGCACGCGAGCCACCATTTGGTGGCTCAACCTTGGCCCTAGTCGAGTTTGATTTGGTATGACTCGGCCGCCAGCGGCTATTCTGGTTTTCTGGTTTTTTGACTTGTTGTATTGTTTACGCGTATTTTGTCGTTTTGCTGACTGGTACGCTTCCTCGATTCACTTTGTGTATTTCGTGAACGTGCAGATCACTTGATAGTGGCCGACGGGCATGCAGGCCACTTGGATAACTGTTCCGATGGCCGATGAGTACGCATGCCACTTGGAACTGGCTGATGAGTGCGCGGGCTAATTGGAGGTAGCCGTTGAGTGCACAGGACGCTTGGTTCGTCGTTCCGGTGGACGGTGAACGCACGGGCCACTTGGCGGTGGCCGGCGAGTACGCGGGTCAATCAGATAAATCTTCTCGACTTGGATGACGACGTTTAATGTCTCCCCTTCATCTCGAGTTACACACGGGAACCTATAGGCATTTTTAGACGCCTACAGGAGGGGGGTTCAGTTTTTCCATCTCAATTAGGATGTAGCAGAGGGGAAGCAAACTCTTTAAGAAATAAGAAATAACAATAATAATAAAGCTTTTATCCCAGATATTTATGGTCGGCTACATAAATCCTCTTATTTCATTCCATTCTATTATGGAACATCTCATGTGATAAGTAATGCATAATCATATTCTTCTTAATTGTTTCGAACAAAGTTTTTTTAAAGTCTACCTCTATATTTCCTAGCACCATTAACTATAATACTATCACTTTATAACTGGTGCACTAAAAAGTCTCCGTTGTGCATGACTAAACTATCTTAGTTGATTTTCTCTCATTTATCTATAATAGGGGCAGCCTCTAAGTTATTACGAATGCAGTCATTTCTTATCATATCTTTTAGTGTATATCACAAGACCACCATAACATTTTCCTTTCTGCTACTTTTATTTTTTACACATGTTATTTTTTAATTGCCCAACTCTCTGACTCATAAAGTATTGTTGGTGTTATAACCGCCTATAGAATTTTCTCTTTTGTTTCATTGGTATTCTATGATCACATAAGACTCCCGAATACTCCTCTATTTCAACCATCTCGATTTGATTCGATGGACAACATCATTCTAAATCTCACCATCATGCTGAATGACTAATTCTAAATGGCAAAAATGATTAATGTTAGATATTTTTTACCATCAATATGTATTATAGTTTTTTCTTCTTAGTTTTATTAAAAATGTACTTCATATATTCTATTTTCATTCCACTAATTTAAAAACTTTTAGATTCAAGAGCTTGTCTCCACCTTTCTATTGTAGAAATTATACATCTTCTAATTTCGCCAACTAACACTATATCACCCATAAATAACATACATCATGAGATTTTATTTTGAATGTGGCTAGTAAGTTGATAAATAACTAATGCAAAAATATAATGACTTAAAGCTGACCCTTGGTGTAAACTTATGGTAATAAGAAACAGTTTAGTCTCTTCTTCATTAGTTCATAGTCTTGTTGTCATGCTATCATACATATCTTTAAAATCATATCAATATATATACTATATATATGTTTCTTTTCTGAAACCCACCATATTACCTCTCTAGGCACTCTGTCATAAGGTTTTTCTAAATCTATGAAAACTATATAGATCATTTCTCTTCTCTCCATATCTCTCCATCAACCATCTCAAAATATGTATAAGTTCTATAGTTGACCTCCTTGGCATAAAACTAAATTAGGTTTCATATACACTTGCCTCATTTCTTAGTCTTTGCTCAATTACCCTCTCCCAATATTTTATAGTATGACTCATGACTTTTATATCACTTTGAATGACTTTGTATATCTACTTTATTTTTTATATCAGTATCAAAATATTATAAAGAGATAATTTTATCATTCCATCAAGATGAGATCTAAATGGATGAAATAACATGTCCAATTCTTTTTGCAAATTTATATGCATTCTCTTACCTTCTTCTTATTTTATTAAACCTTCCTAACAAGATCAAATAAGTTCCATTTACTAAATTCTCAAACAAATTTTATTTGTTGCTTTTAACTTCTCCTAACTTATTTTATGTTATCTTAAATTTCTTCACTAAAGATGTGTTCGGATTGATGGTAATGAGGGGTAGGAAAAGTTATGGTAGGATTTAACCTTGTTGGGAATTAAATTGGGCTAGGTAGTGGGGGAGAAGTAAAGGTAAAGGAGGGAAGAAACCAGGGTGAAGGTGAAGGAGAAGGAGGGGAGCAAAGCAACTGTAGAAAGACCAGATTACCCCTTATTAAGATCTAGCAACAACATAACTTAATAACATGTAATGGTATTTATGTCATTTTATATATATTTCCTTCTCTTCCATTCCCTTCACTTTATTAAATTTTCCATACGGGGTGAAATAAGTTATCATTGATTCTCCTTACTTATTTTCCGAACAAGTTTTATACGTTACCTTACATTCCCTTAGCTTACCTCCTCCTAAGTTCTCTTAAGGACAAAATTTGAAAACAAACCCATTTGAAACTTATTTATAAAAAACGACTTATTCTCAACTTATTTGCCAAAACCGACCCAGTTTCAACCATCTGGCTGAAACTGGATCGGTTTTGGCGAAAAAAATACCAAACTTCACAGAACTTGAAGTTCCATGAAGTTTGATGGCTGAAACTGGGTCGGTTTTGACAAATAAGTTACAAGTGGATCGTTTTTTATAAATAAGTTATAAAAGGGGTTTGTTTTCAAAATTTGTCCTCTTAACTTCCCTTCACTCGCTCCGAATCCAAACAAGAGCTAAGAACAAATCCAAACAGGCCCTAAAAATCTCGCTTGGTCGGCCTTTTACCTCTCTTTTAACTCTTTGTTAGCAAATGAAGTCGAACTCTGAACTCAATGCCCCTTGACGTCCTCTTTATAATAAACCTTCTCAAATCCTTCACCTCTGCTCATCACCTCCTCAAAGGCCAACAACTCCACGCTCTCCTCCTCAAGTCTGGCCACCTATTTTCCCTCTTCTCCTCCAACTCCCTCCTCCATTTCTATTCTCGCTGCTCTCCCAACCCACAAAATGCCCACAACCTCTTCGACTCGATGCTCACAAGAAACTCATTCTCTTTCAATACCGTCGCTGACTCCTACCTCAATTCCAACGACATCCCCCGTGCAATCTCTTTATTTAGATCAAACCCACAAAAGAATTCTTACTCATGGACTTCTATTATTAATGGTTTGGTAAAAATTGGTGATTTGGACAATGCACGTACCCTGTTTGATGAAATGCCTGTTAAGGACGTTTCGACGCTGAACTCTCTGATTCATGTGTATTTGAAAAGTGGGAAGGCATTGGATGCATTTTGGTTGTATAAATTGGTGGGCTTGGATGATAAGTTTGTGCTGACGACGGCTGTCAGTGGGTGTGCAGATTACCGGGCTTATGAGCTTGGTAAACAGATTCATGCACGGATTTTGATTACGGGAGTAGAGTTGGATTCAGTTTTAAGGAGCGCTCTTGTTGATCTGTATGGAAAGTGCGAGGATCTTGATAATGCTTGTCGGGTTCTTGACTCGATAGAGAGCCCGGATGAGTTCTCACTATCGGCTCTGGTGTCGGGTTTCTCGAGTTGTGGGAGAGTTGAGGATGCAAGGAGGGTATTCTATAGGAAGAGGAACCCTAGTGCTGTTTTATGGAATTCGATGATCAATGGATATGTGTTAAATGAATGTGGAAGAGAAGCGATCGATCTTTTTAGTCAGATGAAGAGAGAGGAGAAGGTTCTTGTTGATTCAGCAACGTTTGCGAGCATTTTTAGCGGTTGTGCTACTTTAGGTATTGCTGACATTGTAAAGCAAATTCATGCTTGTGGTTTGAAACATGGAGTTGAGGGAGATGTAGTTGTTGCCAGTGCTTTGATAGACTCTTACTCAAAATGTGGTGAATGGGAGAGTGCTTGTAGGGTTTTTGATGAGGGCAAAATTCGTGACACTGTGCTTCTGAATTCTATGATCAATGTTTACTCCAATTGTGGAATGATAGTTGAGGCGAAGGCGATATTTGATTCGATATTAAACAAGAGTATAATCTCATGGAACTCAATGATCGTCGGTTACAGTCAAAATGGTTGTGCTATCGAAGCACTAGACCTCTTTTCTAAAATGCACCGCTTCAACCTTAGGATTGACAAGGTTGCTTTGGCTAGTGCAGTCAGTGCTAGTGCTTCCATATGTGCTCTTAGTATAGGAGAGCAACTATTTTCTCTAGCTACGATAATTGGCCTTGATTCTGATCCGATCATCTCCACTTCGGTTATTGATCTCTATTGCAAGTGTGGGAATCTTTCTAGTGGATGGAGGGTCTTTAATTGGATTACAAAGACCGATAAAGCTCTATGGAACTCGATGATGATGGGTTATGCTACAAACGGGTATGGAACTGAAGTGCTGAAAATGTTCAAAGTGATGAGAAGCATGAACATATCACCAAATGAAGTAACTTTTATAGCTATTCTATCTGGTTGTTGCCACTCAGGGTTAGTTAAGGAGGGAATGGAGTGCTTTTATAGAATGAAGGAAGAGTATGGTATTGACCCGAAACTTGAGCACTACTCATTGGTCATTGATTTGCTAGTTCGTGTAGGAAAACTGAAGGAAGCTGTCGAGTTCATCGACACGATGCCCTATGCAGCTGATGTGAGCCTGTGGACATCTGTGCTCGGAGGTTGCAAGGCTGACGGGGATGAAAATCTTAGAAGGGAAGTTGAAGAAAGGCTTGTCAAGCTTGAACCAAGTGAAGCTGGCCCTCTTCTTCAGCTATCGAGCATTTATGCTGCTCATGGGAAATGGGAGACATCAGAAAGGATTAGAGAGATGATGCGGGAGAGAAGGATTAGAAAGAATCCAGGTTACAGTTGGATAGACAATTAAGAAATCAGTCAACCTCATAAATGCAACTTTTATGGTCCATGATTCTGAAATGGGAAAATCCCGCAATATTATGATGCATCCTAGAGGAAATGCGATAGGAGTATCAATTTTCTCCTAGAGCTGGCTACATGTGAATGAACTTTGTTGGTTTCATTCATTAGGGCTGAGGTGAATGAAATGTTTCTGTAAATTAGATAGCAAGTTCATAACACCCTCAATTCAGGTAACAGTTGGATCAGAAATTGAACAAAGGATAGAGAAATGTTTTTAAGGATTCTGTTTGAGTTCAAGTGTACATTGATAAAGGGAATAGGCTAGAATTGACTGCAATATATTCAGCTGTTGTGGTCGTTCACGCTCCTGAAGTTATCGAATCTTACAACTTTGTTGGATGCGCGTCATTACAGGAAACGTGACACCATTCTCGGTAACATCCAAGAGCTAATTGTTGTTCGTGCTGATTTACGTGAAGAGTGTACAGCAGTGGGAGTTGAAAGCCTATAAGGTTGCACCCTGATTGCGGCAGGCCCCCACCTGAAGCAGTCCAAAAAGGGAGCAAAATAAAGACAATAGAGGGAAGGGAGTTTAGGGTTTGAAAGACTGATTGTAATTTTTGTTGATTATTAGTGGCATCTCCGGTTACACTGCGAGGACATAGGGTTATTGCACTGATTGCCAAACCTCAGTAAATCGTTTTGTTTCTATAGTTATCTGTGCTGTTTTTCCGCTTTCTTCACTGTTGTGCTAGCACTGACTATGTAGGAATTAATCGAATAAGCTTCATTGTTTCATTTATTTGCGTGGGATCAAAGAAATCCCTGTTCAACTAGATAGCAACTTAATAGGGGCGTTCTTAACTTGAACTCAGGTTACAGCAGGATTGAAAAGTTGAACAACGCGGACTGAGCAGGCCGCACGAAGTCGTGAAGAGCGAGCTCAGCAATAGAGGGTTGGCTATGAGCTGAAAAGGATTCGGTTTTTGGTCTGGAGAACATCCACGAAGGAATGGGTCAGAAATTAATTGCATATATCAGCTATTTATATGCTTAGGGTGCTTTAGCTAATTTTAGCACCGCAATTTTAATGTCATTCGCCTGAAGTTGCGTCCTGTGTTATGAGGACGCAAAATGTCACAACGAAAAATATAATTGCAACAGCTCAGCGCGTCAATCCGAATATGCTCATGATGCTCGCAACTATATTATGAGTTGTTTGCATCCGTTTTCAAGCTCAAAGACCTAACCCCATAGTAACATCTAAACTTGTAAAAGAAAGAAAAAAAAAAGGTAAAGCACTTAACATATTTGCAAATTAAGTTAAAAATAGAATTCCTGAATAATAATCTGTATTAATGCGAGTTCACCTCAAGCTCCAAAATTAGGCGGTGTTGCTATTTGATTTATGCCAATGATAGATTGCGTTATTCAACTCGTCAATTAATTAACGGGTAATAGAGAGTGAACAGATTTAATCAATCTTAATTTGGCATTTGCATAGTTTCTCTTTCTCTGATTCCTCTTCATCTTTTTTGCCAACAATATTAAAAACGAGGATTGGTTGTATGATCATGAAAGTGAGGTGTCGAAAACATAAAATCATCCAAGAGCTTAATCGCGTGTTAAATTTGTTGCATTTTTCATTGTAAATACAAAATTTTAGGGTAAGAAAGGACTACATCTATATGTTCGCTAGATTTCCGGAGATTAATTTTTGGAAACTTGAATCAATTCTTCTGAAAGCTCAATTGGATGAAAACAGTCGTGTATTGGGTGAATGCTGCTTCTTTCTATTGATAACAACAGGAGAGCCTCGCCTTGGTAGAATCAAATACATAACCTTCCATGGAAAGTTAAAGAGTTGGAATGATCTAAAAAACAGAATGTGAGAATTGCATGAGAATTTTTATGGAAATTCTCACTCTTGCGTGACATAGGGTACTAAATAGCAACTGTTATAAACTTTAGGGTTTTTTTTGGGTAACAAGGGAAACCTGGTCAGTCCGCTCAACTTTAACTTCTTTGGAATCCGCCAACGGCCCTGGTTCGAATCCCACATCCATCTCCCCTCTACAAGGAGCTACCCTTAATATAAAGAGGGGCGAACAACGTGGGGGGCGGGCGCGAACTGGTGAGCATACAACAGGCTGAGCAAAGTGACCAATAAAACCCCCGGGCCTCCGTCCCCACCCTTAAACTCAGGGAGACTAGGTGAATTCGGCAACGTGAATCGAACCCCTGACCACTGGGAAGATCTCCTTCTCCCATGTGGGCGCTAGCCAGGAGTCCCACCCGCGGGTGGTAACTTTAGGGTATTTAAGTACAACTATTTATAACTGAAAGTATTTATATGGGACATTGGGTTAACAATAGGAGGATTTAGGTGTAATTTACCCTAGAATTTATTTGTCCGTTCTACATTCAACCTCCTTCAATATAGACCGTTGGATCAAACACAATAGACGGTATAAATTGGATAAGCAAATGTTCAGTAGCGATGGGGTCTAGTCTAGGGCTTCAAATGTAGCCGCAGCCTCTCAAAGTCCTTTTCTCCGGATCGCTCAAAATTCATTATTCTCTGCAATTTCATCAAAGAAGAAAATCCTCTATAAATTTTAATGACAAATTTTGATGCAAATGGAGAAGATGGGTCTATTCTTCTGCATTGCATTCTTGATGATGATGGATAGTGTTGATGTTGATGGAATCAATTTTCTGGATAGGGAGGTTTTGGAAATAAAAAGGTATATGATTTTCTTTGGTCTTTTTTAAAATTTTATTAAATTCCTGATGCCAATTTATTTATTATAGATGGTAAGATCTTGTTTTTCTTTGCTTATATTTGTTATTCTATTTTGATTTAGCCCACCTCATACTTTTTCATAGTTTGTTAGTTAATCATGATAACCTCTGTTTATTTTTCTGTTGAATCTAGATTTTTCTTTTTGGGAAAATTGCTTAGAGCAACTTCAAAAACTTATGTTATGCATCCTACTCCCAACCACAAATGTCATGCTATCTAACCTTTATACAAAAAATTTAGAGTAATTACCACCCCAAAACTGTACAAGCCCACAACCCAATAAGACTCTTCCCAAAATACCCTTCAAGTTTAAAAACTAACACCCTGTTTGGATTGAGGGTAATGGGGGTGAGGGGAAGGGAGGGTAACTTTTAACCTTGTTTGGGAAGTAAATATAGCAAGTTAATAAGGGTGAGGGGAGGTGAAAGGAGGTGAGAAAACACCAGGATTTCTTCCCCCCCAATTTGGGGGGTAATGAGGGTGAAGGTAAAGAGGGGGAATACAACAAATGTAGAGAGACATAATTACCCCCAGCTAAGATCAAAATCCAACGGCTGATATTTGCCCACACCCACAGTATTAAACTCTCTGTTGCTCTCTGCCTCCGCCATTTCTCCTCCGCATCTCCTCTGGCCTCCGCTTCTCTGGCCTCCGTCATTTCTCCTCCGCGTCTCCTCTCGCCTCTGCTAGCCTCCGCTCGCCTCCGCGTTGACCTCGCCTCAAAAATTTTCAAGGTAAGATTTCTCTCCTCTTTATTCAATTTTACTGCAGATCTTGTAATTAGCTCCAGTTTTTAAGCTCTGTTGGATGTTGATTACGTTGAAATTAGTCAGATCTGAGCAAAAGGTTTGCTGAAGACTTGATCTAGGGTTTGCTGGAGTCTTGATCTAGGGTTTTCGAGAATAATGGGTAGGGATCAAAATTTTATCTTTCGGATAGGTGGACAAGGTTGAGATTTTCGCTAGAATATAGTTTGCATTTGCATTGAGAATAGAAAATTATTGATTTTAGATTGTTACCTCTTATTTTATCCTGTTAGAAATTCGTATTCATGCTTTAATTGTTTGAAATGGTATGTGCTGATTGGGCTGGTATCATTATATCATGTGTCAGTGTTCTACTTCCTCCCTGTATGATTTTCGACGTAGGCACTATATAGGATTTTCTTTTTTCCTTTTTATTCTGTTAATTCATCTCAAAACAATTTCACTTAAAAGTTTAGATTCGTAGGTTCTGAACTGACAATGCATATCAGTGAGCATCACATTAATTTCTATGAGTTCAGAAAAAATATACTTAAATTTCAATAGCAATATTTGAATCAGGACCTTTTGTACCTGTTGAAGCCTGCTGATCTAATACCGTACCAAGGAACCAACTTTGCCAAAATTTTAAGCTAATGAGTTAATGGTGAAATGTACAACTCTGAGCATTAACTCTAATTTCTCTAATGTACGAAGTATTTACAAGTTATCTATATTAGCATTAACTCTAATTTTAGAAAGTTGGCGATTGAGAAAATTTTCCTTGTATTGAGTTTGATTGTTTATGAAATTGTATATTGGAGCATGAAGCTACTGAATTTTAAATTCCACGTCTTAACTGTAAAATTTTTAACTTGTTGAATAGATAATGGACGCATGGCTCCAATTTCAACACACATGTAATATTGCGGTTGGATATGCTATTTGCTTATTTGCTTATTGGTTCGTGCATCGAAGAGATAGGATTAGGAGATTAAATATTGACCCTCAAGAACCTAAAGAAGTAAGAGATGTTGTGCGAGAAATAATGTCTCAAAGAGTTATATGTCGTGAAATGATTCGAATGAATCCACCAGCTTTTAACCAATTGTGCGAAATATTAGAGATGAATGGTGGGCTTAAACCAACTCGAAGGGCTACTATTGAAGAACAAGTTGCAAAATTTTTATACATGTTGGGACACAGTGTAACAACTCGTGAAGTAAGTAAGATATTTGGACGATCTGGAGAGAGTGTGAGTCGTCATTTTCATAATGTTCTAAGAGCTATGATAGAGTTGGAGGAAATGTTTTTTGTACAACCCGATGGATCACAAGTTCCTTCGGAGATACTCACCAATTCAAAGTTCTATCCCTATTTCAAGGTGATGATATCTTCCTTCACATCTAATCTTGTATAGTTTGTTATTTATTAGATTTTAATTAATGTTTATGACATCAGGATTGTGTTGGGGCAATTGATGGCACACATATTCGAGTAAAAGTTTCTCCTCGAGACGCCCCTAGATATCGTGGTAGGAAAGACTATCCCACACAAAATGTGTTGGCCGCATGCACGTTTGACTTGAAATTCACTTACGTTTTGCCTGGATGGGAAGGAACTGCATCTGATTCCAGAATTATTAAAAATGCTTTACAAAGGCGATTTCCACTTAAGATTCCTCAAGGTAATTATAAACTAAAGAAAAGCCTAAAATTGTGTCTTTGTAATAAGCTACTAATCAAAATGAACTTGTTTTATAGGAAAATATTATCTGGTTGATGCTGGATTCATGTTACGAAGTGGATTACTTCCACCCTATAGAGGGAACCGCTATCATTTGAAAGAGTATTCTAGAAATCCACCAAAGAATCCACGCGAGTTATTTAATCTAAGACATGCATCACTTCGGAATGCCATTGAAAGATCATTTGGTATCTTGAAAAAAAGATTTCCCATTATAGCAAGTTCAAATGAACCAAACTACAGTGTTAAAACACAAAACAAGATCATTTTAGCTTGTTGTATTTTGCATAATTTTTTAAGGGGAGTCGATCCAGATGATGAATTTCAGGAAGGGGATGAGCAACATAATGAAAATCAATTTGAAGAAGATGATGTAGATGAGGACGAAGATGTTCGTAGAGGGGAGTGGAAAAGAGATGGCATCGCGGTTGCTATGTGGCAAGATTACCATCGATAATTTATTTTAGTTATGCTTATTGTTTGTTTGATTTGTACTCTCTATTTGGGTTATCTTCTCAATTTGTGTTGTACTTGATAAGTGTTAGACTAATATCATTTTAATTCGGTAGCATGAATGTTAGTTTATTTATTGTGATCTCATGTCATCTCTCATTGATAGTTTTCAATTATTGAATTGTGAATAATTAATTCCTTCTAACATTATTGTGTGAATTAAAGGATGTCGAAAAGAAGGAATGTGGAAGGTGATTCTTCTCGATGTAGGAATGCTAATGTTTTGATATGGACTCCTATTATGGAAGATAAGCTAATTGATGCTTACTTGAATCAACATGTAATAGGAAACCGAGTTGATGGGAATTTTACATCAATGGCTTATAATGAAATAGTAGCCGAACTTAAAGAAAGCTTTCCCGATAAGCCATTTGATAAGGAAAAAGTAAAGAATCGCATGAAATATATGAAGACAAAATGGACAGCTTGTTATGATTTATTTAAGAATGTCGGAAGTGGCTTTGCTTGGAATCGAAGCACGGGTTTGTGGAGTGCGGAACCTGAGGTTTGGGATAGACTAATCGAGGTAAAATTACACAATCTTTATTTTTTATCGCATTAATGTCATTTATTACAAGGATTATCATTTTTAGTAGCTGAATCGGAAACCTGTTTTTGAGTTGGGTACTGAAAAGGGTACTTGTACCAGTTGAACTGGAGAAAAGGGTATTTTAGCTGTACCGACTAATTGGATATATGATTAAATCTTACTGTTACATGTGATATATGCCAAATCCAATATCTGACATTAATATCTATGACTGCAATCCTATGTATTATTGGACTGCATCTTTTTTCCCCCTCTTATAATTTTCTACAATTTTTTAGATAAGTATATTAGTTCCCACGGGTGACCTCCATCCTATTTGTTTAAAAAATAAAAATAAAAATCATGTGCACATTGCTGACAATCTGTTTGATACGCTGAAACATATCGTTACAACTGCAGTTGCCATTTCCAAAACACAGTTTTAGTTACAGTTGCATATGTTGTTTTGATGCAACTCAAGTTGCTGTAATTGTAAAAATATTCGATTTTTGAGATGTGCTAGCAACCAAATTGACTGGATCTTTTTTTTTTCTTTGGCAAAAAAATGCTTAGTTTTGCAGCTGCAATGTAAAGAGACTATAGTTACAGCGAAACAACTAATTTTCCTAGCCCTTAGATCGAAGTTAATACCATACTAAGCTTGCACTCTCGTAACATTATCTCTGAGTAGCTTGCATACTCGAACCCTGTAATCTGATACTTTACAGGTTGCATGAAGATGTAGTGTTGATTCTTATAAGACATTTTTTTTTCAGTAGCATCGCACATGTGGTCTTAATTTACCTGTAATCTGATACTTTACAGGTTGCATACTGGACATAATATCCACTTTATTTGCTCTGAAGATATCAGTTTTAATCCTTTATTGGCTTGTGATACTATGTACTGTTTCCTTTTCTTTTCTTTTCTTTTTTTGTGTTTTTTTTTCCTGGGAACTAAACTTGTAGTAGTTTCCTAACAGTTTCTGAGAGTTTGATTATACTTAAAATTTAGGTTATATTGATATGTTTTTGGGGGTGAAAATTCAAGTGATAGGTTGAGAACCATGTTGAGCTAAAATTTGGTGCAAATCTGTTTCAGGCTCACCCAGAAGCTGCTGAATGGAGGACCAAGTCTATCCGAAACTATGATAAACTATTGGAGCTTTTTGCAGCTGATAGAGCAAATGGGGAACTTGCTGAAACTGCGGCTGAGATACGAGAAAGGAGGAGGGATTTTAGTGCAAGCAATGGCTTTGATTCTCATACAATTGAGGACATCGATGGTATGGTTTCTCGACATGAAATTTTGTTAGAGAATTTCGATAGGATTAATGATGAGGACCCAAATGACAACAATGATGAACATGTGATTACCCCTGAAACCAAATCAACTGCAAATTCACAAAAGAAAACTAGAAAATCGAAGGACGAAATTTCTATTGTTGATCAGGAGGTGATAAAGGGTATGCAGAGGATAGCTGAGGCAATTGAATCCACTGGTGATAAATACATACAAGCTCTTGAACGTGCTCCAATGAAAAGTAGTGATGTTTGGAATCATTTGCTTGAACTTGGTGTTGAGACTGCTCAAATTAAACAAGCTAGAAACATGTGCTAATTGCAAAACTTTGATTTTATGAATTATGTTCCTTTTTTATGTAAGTTGTTTTTGCCTATTTAGTATGTATGTTGCTATGTGACTGTCCTTATTATTTTTCATTCCAAACTTAGTATGAATGTGATCTATATTTGGTTTCTGTTCCACTTTCTTGTGCCTTTCTGGGGTATTATTTTGCAGCATGATGAAGCTATGCTTCTAGTCTAAAATGAGGCCACACATCAAAATCATAACTTCTAATGAAATCCATAGCTATTTTGCAGCATGATGAAGCTATTACTACTTTAATTATGGCCGTCTACTACTTAATGTACGCTTGTGATTTATCTTGTACAAAAATTAATAACTGAATGTAATTTTGAAAAAGAAAAGGTTATCTATTTGGAACGAATTAAAACAATCAAAGTATTATCATCTCTTCACGGTTCCACTATTAGAATCGGTTATAGTCAAAAATATTCTCATGGTTATCTAAACTTCAATATTCTATCTATAAGAATCAAATATACAATTGTTTGTATAAACCAATTATTACAGTTTTAGAAACAGAAGAATTGCGATTAGAAAGAAAAAGAGAAAATAAAGAATACACTTGAAGAAATCTGCAGATAAATAAATAATAAGATATTTATTTTCATGTGGGCTTATGTGACAGTTGCTCATATTTTTTTATATACATGTGAGGGTATTTATGTCAATTTATATACATTACATTCTCTTCCCTTCTTGTTATTACACTTTCCAAACGGGGTGAAATAACTTCTCCTTGATTCACCTTACTAATTTCCCAAACAAGTTTTAGAAATTCCCTTCCCTTCCCTTAACTTCCCCTTGGTTCCCCTAACTTCCCTTCACCCCCTCCAAATCCAAACAAGCCCTAAAGAAATATAGTTCCCTTCCTGCTTCGCACGTTTATCGAGATCCTCTCTAACCTCATTTTCTCATCACTCTCTTCTTCTCAAGATCCGACACTGCAAGCTGTTCGTCTTTGACCCCTATAGCTTCGCTCCGTCTTCGCTCCGTCTTCATCTTTGCTCTGTCTTCTCCCCTATAGCCAAATCAAGGAAGCTACTGCCGCTGACACGGACCGCCACAAGCTTGTTCTCCTCAGCCTCAGCTAGGAGACCACCACTGACCCCAAATCCCTCTTCTTCACATAGTCTCAATTTAACCAAACCCTCAATTTGAAGCCCTCAATTTTTGGTGAAAATCTAGTATGGCGAAAGCAAGTTTATCAACTAAATCATCTAAATCAGCAATAAGAAAGGATGAGTTATAAGTATCAATTCTGAATTTATCCACTTTTGTTCTCATTGTGTATTTATCCACAGTTGTATGTAGAATCATGTTATTCTCTCTTGTGTTATGTTTTACAGCACTACTACAAAAGCCTCTTATAATAACAGTTAATTGATTAAACTGTTGCTATTAGGGCTTATTGATACAGTTATTATAAAATCTGATCCTTTCTTTCTATTTGAAACACTTGCCAACTATATCTCAATTAAATTAAAAAGGAAAATAGATATTTCTATTAAAATTAAGGCGGGAAACCAAATTTGTGGGGATCAAATAAAACGGGGGAAACCAATTAATTAGGAAAAGGTGGTGAAATTCTCCCTCAAAACTGCTCTGCTCTCAGCCTCTCACCCGTACCTCCCCATGACGCAAAACCTCAGCAATTTTTATTTCCCCCTCAAAAACCCCTCCGCTCTCAGCCTCTCACTCGCGACGAGAACCCCTCCACTCTCAGCCTCTCACCCGCGACCTCTCCACGACTCAAAACCTCGGTGATTTTTATCTCTTCATCAAAACCCCTCTGATCTCAGCCTCCCACCCGACCAAAACCTCCCCACGATCCAAAACCTCCCCTCTCAAAATTTTCAATTGACCTCCGATCTCACCTTGATCAAGACCTTGAGACCTACGCTTTCCCTTATAATAACAGATATTGTGCGTCTCTGGTCTTTTTTATTCGTGCAATTGTGGTTGTATCTCTCTCCTTTCTGATTTCTGGCAATTGCATGCGCTGATCTCCTCACTTCACAAAGGTATTTTGAATTTTCCTATTATTGTGATTAAATTATTTATTCAACTTGTAAAAAATTCCCATTCCCTTGTTGATTCTGTGCATGTAATTTTGTAGAGATAAACTCTTTGTTTTTCTATTCTATACAAAAAAGAAGTAATTTTAGTTATTGTTCTTATTAGGAAAATCGTAATCAAGATCTAAATATTTCATGCTCCCCCTCAACCAATTTGAAATTTCTAAATATTTCGGTACATAGTAGTCTTTTTTTGTTTGAAAATTTATAAACTATTTTTTAGGATTAAAAGAAAAAATTTATGATATGTTGCTATGGGATCTCAAAACCTATTATCTATAAGTCATGTCAGAGATATTCATAATCATGTCAGATATTCATAATCATGTTTTTTGTCATTTTAAGGCCTGCGAAATCGATTTTAAGGCATGACAATGCGTACCTCGAAAACAAACATGTCTTCTTTGTAATTGGCAGTGTCCTCTGATATCTCCCATAATTGCATGGTATAGATATTTATTTTCTTTATTCAATATTTATCGGCAGAAAGCCCTATCCTATCTGTACGTAATTGTAAGTATAATGGTGATGAGTGAAAGTTTACCTGCATATATGCAATTAAGCTCCACTGGGAACTTGCAACCACTGTAAACTTGTGCTCCTTTGCCAGTTGCTTTAGAAATATATATAATCTTTATGACTCAATTTGTTCTCTTAATGTGTCTCTCTCTAGATCATGATAGCTTTTTAATAATAGGTTATAATGTTGAATTATTTTTACTTTTATTTTTTTGAGTAAAATGGTGGACAACTATCCCCATGTTTCATCAATTAAAATGAGTTTAACGGACATTATTAATTTTGATTTACGTGACTAATGCGCTAGTTTGATCGCTTCATCTGTAGCAGTTGTATAGCTCTGTGTATGGTATGGTGGCTCCAAATTTGATTATTACCTCATGTACATTTATTTTTTGTTATGAGAAAAAAATAATGGAAATTAATGATGAGAAGGCAATAAACAACTAGGAGGGCTAGCTTTGTTAGAATTATAATATTGCAATAGATGCATAAGCCTATGACACTTATTGTGATAGTATTCTTGTACAAATATATGTTTGATTCATGTAAATCTAGACAAATAATCTATTTTTTCCTTTTGAAATTAATATAATGAATTTTATATGTCAATTACTCTATTAGATACCTTGAGACATGGAACACGATTACATTGTCGAGAGGAGTTGGATGTATAAGGAGGAAAATGAACGCTTCAAAGATTTTTATAGCTGGAGTCGAATGTTTCATTGAGTTTGCACTTCAGCATTTGGTAGAAGGTCGGTCCAATGTATGTTGTCCATGTAGAAAATGTCAAAACCGATATAGCTATGATACGAAAACCATTAAAATGCATATAGTCAAGAATGGTTTTGTAGCTATGATACGAAAACCATTAAAATGCATATAGTCAAGAATGGTTTTGTACATGGCTACACTAAATGATATTTTCATGGTGAAAATTAAAAGAGGCTCCGGGAGAAAGCAATTAATGTGCTTCCATAAAGAGATGACATGGCAGGAATTCCATTGTATTCGGCTTATGAAAATGACACGACTTCAGATTCATCAAATAGAACAAGAAGAGATAAGAATACAAAAAACTTTGAAAACTTGATCGAGGATGCAAAGAAACCACTTTATCCTAATTGTTAGAAGTACTCAAAATTGTCTTTTATTGTTCGTTTGTTTCAAATTAAGTGTTTGAATAAATGGAGCAATAAGTCACTCCAGTCTTCTTGAGCTGCTTAAATATCTTTTACCTGAGGACAATCTCGTGCCAAAGACATGGTATGAAGCAAAGAAGGTGATGGATGAAATGAGTTTAAAGTGCAACAAGATACACATGTTGTAACGATTGTGTGCTATTTAGAGGGGAATATGAAAACTTGAATTCATGTCCCGCGTGCAAAGAATCAAGATGGAAGCAAAGAAGAGAAGATTCTCGAGGTAAAAATATTCCTATTAAGATCCTTCGTCACTTTTCGTTGATTCTAAGGTTGCAAAGGTTATATATGTCCAAAAAAATAGCTGTAGACATGACCTAGCATCACAACGCTCCTACGGAAGACGAAAAATGAATCATCCTAGAGAATCTGAAGCTTGAAGAGATTTTGATGCAAAACATCCTTCACTTGATATGGAACTTCGTAGTGTAAGGCTTGGTCTTGCTAGTGATGAGTTTAGTCCTTTTAAATTAATGATAGGCGGCAACCAAAGCACATGGCCTGTGGTTTTGATTGCATACAACCTTCCACCATGATTTGCTATGAAGCAATCTTTCTTCATGTTGTCCCTTTTAATAGATAGGTCAAAGTCACCTGGTAATGATATCGATGTCTACTTACAACCCTTGATTGATGAGCTCAGCACTTTATGGGAAGATGGTATCGACACATATGACGCGACAAATGATAAAACATTCAAGATGAGAGCTTCCATTTTGTGGACAATCAATGACTTCCCTACATATGGTATGTTATCAGGTTGGAACACTAAAGGGTATATACTGCATGTCCTAGTTGTCATACTAACCATGGTTCCATATACTTACCTTGTAACATAAAATGTGTGTACTTAAGGCATCGCCGCTTTCTATTGACCAATCACTCACGGAGAAATGATAGGAAAAATTGTAATGATAAAGTGGAGAAAGATACTGCTCCTATTCCATTATCTAGGCATGATGTATTAAATCAGTGGCAAAATTACAATAATGTGGTATTTGGAAAGAGAAAAAATTCTGAAAAGCAACCAACACCAAAATGTTGGAAAAAGAAGAGTATTTTCTTTGAACTACTATAGTGGAAAACATTATTGGTGCGTCACAACCTAGATGTTATACACATTGAGAAAAATGTTTGCGATAACACATTGAGTACTCTATTATGTCGAGATGGAAAAACAAAAGACAATCTTAATGCTCGTAGAGATTTGCAAATTTTAAACATCAGGAAGCCTTTACATCCTAAACGGATAGCTAATAGAGCAGGAAAGTTTGTATTGCCTCATTCATCCTATAACATCAGCAAAGAGGAGAAAGAAAGTTTCTTAAAAGTTTTGAAGGACTTAAAACTTCCTGATGATTTTTCTTCAAACTTCTTAGGACAAGTTCAGATTCGAGAAAACAAGATCATTGGCTTGAAGAGTCATGACTATCATGTTTTGATGCAACAACTCCTTCCATTAGCCATGAGAACATCACTTAGAAAGGATGTAGGTCTTGTTTTGAATGACTAGTGTAGCTTCTTTAGAAAATTATGCTCTAAGGTCATTGATGTAGATCTGATAGAAAAGCTTGAGCAAAGTATTCCTATTATTCTATGCAAGCTTGAAAGGATTTTCCCTCCAGCGTTCTTCGATGTCATGGTACATTTGACTGTCCATTTAGCGAAAGAGGCTAAACTCACATGACCGGTTCAATATCGTTGGATGTACCCTATTGAAAGGTATGGTAAAAGGAATTATATTCACTTTATTATATATTTATTCTAGAAGTATAATTTATAATTTCTATGTAGGTATTTGCTTACACTAAAGAACTATGTACGAAATAGAAGCCGTCCAGAAGGTTCAATTGCTGATGGGTACTTTGATGGAGGCCACAATATTCTGTGCAAGTTACCTTGATGATGTGGAGTCAAAACTTAATCGACCAGTGGGACTTCAAGAAGGTCCCCTGGGTACATGAAAGAGTCAAAAGCTATCGGCCTCAGAAGTGTACCAATCATATCGCTTTATACTTGACAATATGGAATTAGTACACCCATATCGAGAGTATGTTTTGTGGATCTGTTTTATAGTTTCATTAATGTTTTTTTTATTTTAATACGATATTGGTAATTTAGGTTATATGATATACTTGTAAAGCAAAGACATTCTCATTGGAACAACCGCCAAGTCCAAGTTAAAGGACAGAAATTTTGTTGACTGGTTTAGGTCTCATGTAAGCTTTCAAAACTACTTTACTTAAACTTTATAATTTTTCATAATAGCAATTTCTAATGCATTTATTACTTTGTCATAGATTAATACATTAAAAAGACAAAATGTTCATTTAGATGAGGAAGTGATCAATCTCGCTTTTGGTCCTCTACCCGATGTTACATGTTATCCAACATTTGGTGTCAATGGGTATAAATTCGAAACCAAAGCCGTCGAGGCTACAAGAACAACACAAAACAACGGTGTTGTGACTGTGGGTGATGAGAATAAATTATTTTATGGGGTAATCAATGAAATATTAGCTATACAAGTGCCAAAAATGAAACCTATTGCTTTATTTAAATGCACTTGGTATGACTATAGAGAAGGATCAGGAAGGAAGAAAGATGATTACAATCTTATATCCATTAATACAACTCGAAATAGCTACAATGCTACATAGATGAGCCATTCATCTATCCATCACAAGTAAGCCAAAGTGTATTACTCAAAGGATCCTAAAAATCCAAACCGGAGTGTTGTGTGTCATTGGAAGCCAAGAGATATTTATGAAGTTCTTGAAGAGAGGCAACATACAGAAGGAAATTGAACATGAAGATATTAATTTTGTTCAGAGCGTCGATCCATGTATCCCTTCAGAAGGCATTACAATTGATGATGGTAATATTGAGTGGGTTAGAGAAGATATGGGAATTGGCACATTTGTAAGTCAGAAAGATCTCGAGGGAGCTAAAAGTTTTCTTGGGAAGAATAAAAAGAAATATCAGGTATTTTAGATGATATTTTATCTTAATTGAAAATTTATTCATAATATTTATTCTATGTGCTTATGTTGAAAATATCCTTTCTTATATATGCAATAAATATTTATGATAAATATTGATGAGAACTTGTTCCAGTAGGTACAAGATGCCATCTAAAGTTGCTAACCTGATAAAAAAGAAGAGTACAGATATCCTTGGGAAGAAGAGATTATATGATGAGCCCTCTACTGAACCCTATACTGAGAAATTTATGGACACATATAAAAAAAAACAACCTAATGATTGTCATAAATCAAGTACTACAGGTATTATATTATTTCGTTTAAAAAATCTTAATTTCAACATACTAGATTATTTGGAGTGTTTATATTTGTACATCATATTTGGAAAATATGCAGATTTTTTCAGCTTTGACAGATCACACATAGTTAACCAGGTTGGCAATACAACTGCAAAATCCATGACAGGTATTATTTTTTCTCTTAACTTTGTAGGATATTTGTAGTATTTTCTCTTAAATGTATGTAATCTATAATTAAATAAGAATTATTTACAACTCATTGGATTCAAAGAAAGATTTATGTATATGGACGTAAATATCATTTTTTTGCAAGCAGCAGAAACATGTAACCAGAAACATGTCAATTTATCTGTTTACACTTCAATTAATCTATATCATTATTTGTAGAGAAAATAAATATCTGCAGATTACCCAAATAACCAAATACCAGAACATGTCAAATATCTCCCCATTGCCATATAAGCAACAGTTATGAAAACTAGGATCCTGTCAAATGCATGCAAGAAATTAAAAAATGGACAACTATTATTGATATAACTAGTTCCCTCTAGCTGTCGTTGGTATTAGATAGTTTTAATTACTTGAGGTTTAAAGAACTGCTTGGTGATATATGTATTGTCAATATGTATTGTCAATATGCACATTCCAGAACTTCCTGGTTATTTCAAATTACCTGTACTAAATCTGTAATATGTAGCCTACTATTAATGTTTCATCCAAAAAATTCTTCGGAAAACTAGTATTGTACAGAATCTCTCTTCAGAAAACTCGATAACCTTTGCTTGCTTTTACAGAGTGATTAAAATAGTCTTATCCACGTTGTATTCCTCGTTGGAATTTTTTTCCAGAACAAAAAATTGATTTTAGTTTATGAAATTTCCTTTTTCACTGTAACCTCTCGGTCACTCCCTGATAATCACACTTTGTATTCAATTATTGGTTGCCATTGCATCTGTAATCAGTTGATTGCGTGTTGCTAAGCTGTCTTTGTTTCTTCATTTGATACCATTATCTCTAACTTCATTATCGGCTTTAGCTTCTTGTGTTATTTTGGTTGTATCTAATTCTTAACCACCAAGTTTGATGGTCCTTTCAAGATTTGTTTCCTCTTCAAGGTATGATACAACTTGCCTGCAGGATATAATATCTATACTACTTGTTGAAGCACCGACAGTATTTCGTATGATTGGAAAACAATACCAACTGAAAGGTTGGAGAAACAATAGCAAGTGAAAGGTATTCCAGCCGAAGTAGTATGAAGAGGCTTAGAATATCATTACAAATTCTCACCTTTGATTAATTGGGATTTCGGCTGTTTATAAGGATTCCTTTCACTTACCGTCATGTGTTGTTAGTGAAGAATTTTTTGGATGAAACATTAATAGTAGGCTATATACTAGAGATTTAGTACAGGTAATGCATGTAAAATAAATAAATATAACACTACAGCTGCATATAAAATAAATATTTGCGAACCAAATTTTTATGGCATGCATAAGCATATGCAAAAAATCTATTGTCTTTACTGTCCAGGGACTGCATGCAACAGTTAAGTATGAAGCTAATTTGTATCATGGATTCATGAAAAGAATAATTACTCACAACGCTTGCACTAGTCTTTTCCCCAAGAGCAGCAAGAAGTCTGGAAAGTTCTGATCTTGAATCAGCCAAAGCTTGAAGAAGTAGTGCCCTTGAACTAGTTTTTGAGTATATGTTTAAAAAGTAGCATTGCATAATTATAGCATGAAACCAGTCATGTTCACTGAATTTGGAGGTTTAACTTTCTGCTGGGTGTGACTCATGCACATGGCCATGAGATCCTCTCTATTCCAAGCATATTTATTATTACTTGGAGAAGTTTCAGGTATTAGTTAGCTTTAAATCAAAGTTCCTCGACACTAACCTGGGCCTTAATTTTAGACTAAAGTTTCATTGTCTGACATTATTCGGTTTAAATTGTTTGTAGTTTCTAAACAGTCTGACTCCATTTGTATAGTCAATTACAATTTAAATTGTGCATTTATAGATCACTTCATTCGATGTATAGTCAATTACACTATTATACATTTTAGTTACAAATCATGACATCGATCATTTGTTTTCTCTTAGTTTCTCAAGTAAGTCGTCCAAAACGAAATGCGCCTTCTGTATATTGTGGTAATATTAGTCCTCAAGCCCATGTGGTTCATGATCACGTGCCAACTGTTGACGATGCAACTCCAATTATTGATGGTAATGATGGTGAAACTTGCTTTATTGATAACGCGGCCAATTTGCTGCTTTCTGCAGGTATTTCTATTGTTTAGTAGTTACACTTTTGTTATTTTAGCTTATTATAGCATGAACTCACTTATGTAATGTTTTATGTCATTGCTTTAAAGTAAGCCATGACAATAACAAAAAAGGTAATAGGAAACCTACTAAGTTGGAAACTTTTCGTACTCCGCCGGGGCAGAAGCATATGGTTACTTGGAGAGATGGGCAACCTATTAGTCGCACTGCGTTTCAGTTTTCCCAGGAGCTTGGTTATTATGCCCGGATAGGTAGGCTATTCCCATTAGGTAATGAGTGGAATGATGAGTCTCGAGAAAAGATGGGTGATGTTATGGAACTTATAAAGGTATATCTTTTTATTTTTTATGATTTAAAATTGATTTATTTATCTTAGGTTATTGACCCTTACAGATTGCTATTTGTTTAAGGATTATTTTATTTGGGAGAGCGAAGATGAAGACCCTAAAAACCCTGGAATCAAGTTGTCGGTGAATATGTTTATAGTTGTTCGTTGGTACACTCTTACGGTGCAGGCGGCATTAAGATCTTGGAAAACAACACTAAAGAAAAAGTATTACGATCAGTGGAAAAATGCTTCTCCCCAGCAGCGTTATCTTATTGTCTTTGATAGAATCACTCGCAATGTGTGGGAAGACTTCGTCAAATATATAGACAATCTCGATAAGAAGGTAATCTTTTAACGAATGTTCTCAATTTTTTTTCTTTGGGTCATTGAATAAGTCTTTTCATTAAACCAATAGAATTAATTAGTACCCGAGTTTAAAATTTTTCAAAATTTTCACGCTTCGACAGTTACGAAACACCAAAATCTGGAAAATAATTCTACTTTCTCTGAAGTATTACAATCTGTGCATATGACAACAATCTAAATGGAGGTTCACTGAGTTTAGGTGTATCTTTGAGGTCAAATGTCAGAAGAGACCAGTGCATAACCTCGGGCATAAACATAACAATTTCAGACAGATGGAAAAGTACAGTGCAGTATCAACAGGCAAGAACATAATATTAAGTTTGATGTATTATCATTTGCCAAAAATAAGAACAAAGTGCAGTATCAACAGGCAAGAACATAATATTAAGTTTGATGTATTATCATTTGCCAAAAATAAGAACAATATCAAAACATTCATCCTGATTTCCAAAATTTAAGTTTGATGTATTATCATTTGCCAAAAATAAGAACAATATCAAAACATTCATCCTGATTTCCAAAATTGTTTAGGTCCACAAATGATTTGTTTTTCCTCATTCCTGAGTATCCATATATGATGCAATCTAGTCTTTTTGTCCCACTTCATGATTGCTTTGAAGGGATAATAGAAAGCCCCAGGCTTAACTTGCATTCATCCCTGAGATTCTAAACAACAGATCTGTGAACTCACAGTACATAGAAACTTAAGCCGTCATAGGGTTTATACAGGCTGGAACTACATGATTCATGTGTTACCAAAAAGGGTCTGTTGACTTTTCAACATCAGTCCCCAAAACACATTTGAAAAGTGTCCTTGTTATTGTGTGCTTTGAAAGTAACTCTTTTAATTTAATTCATTCTTTGAAATTAATCTCCACTATGTCTTGTTTGTAACAATGATAATTATGCATGTGTCTTTTGTTAGTGTCCACCAAATGAATTTGTAATCCAAGTTGTTGGAAGAAAACAACACCTTGTATTGTGAAGTAGTTTCAAGTTTTGTAAATCATTGGTTGCATAAAGAATCATATTCCTTATGTAGATTCCCGATTTAGAAACTGAATGAATATACAAATGCAATGCAAGCGGAAATCAAATAGAAAAGTTAATTCATACGTTGGATCTCAGACCTGGTCAAGTGCACATGCAAACATATCAAGCACATGTCCTTGATGTACAAGCTGTTTCGAGAGCACCTCATAGAACTTGACAGCTTTACTGTAAAGAGAGCTGAGCTTTTATCTAAGTCCTTGTGAGAACGAATAGGCTCAGATAAATTATTGGATACAATCTGTAGAGGTGATATCTTAGATTTGAATTTGCTGAGTGAATTTTATCTCTTTGTTCTTGTCAAATATCTTAGATTTGAATTTGCTTATGCTGTTGAAAATCCGTTAACTATTATATTAATATGTTTTGGATAGAATCTCAATGTGCTTGTGAACTCAAATATTTCATGCGGGAATCTTATTTTATCTCTTTTTCTTTCTAAATCCAGAAGGAGACATCTACAAATATGATAAATGTTGGAAAAAAAACTTCGGCATTGTTTGGGATAAAAATCTATGGCTCGAACTAAGCACAAATTGGTAATAACTAAATATCATTATTATTAATTGTTACTTTAATGCACACATCTAAGTATTAACTATTTAATTGTTTCGGTTCTTGTTTCTTTTTTTTACTTGATAGGAGTTGGATCCCAAAAGTTGTGATCTGTTCGATGAATTTGTCAAATCTCATAAAAGAAAGAGGGGTCTTGGAGACTATCCACATGAGGATACCAAAGATGTTTGTGTAAGTTTTACTTGTGGTTCTTCTTCCTTAACAATATTTCTCTTAGGATATGAATCTAAAATTTTAATGATATTTTTGTAAGGTTATGAATCTTAATTTGTATGCAGGAGAAGATTATTAAAAGGGTTGAGGAGCTCAAAATTCAACTTCAAAATGCTTATCTAGCAACAAAAGCTCGTCGATTGAAGCTTTAAGTTGTTCTCGATGAGGTAGCAGGAAAACACCACGGGGGTTATGAGAGAGGATATAGTGCTGGATACGAAGGAAGGGCAATAGTCCACCATTTTTCTATATCCTATAACATCAAGGGTAATGTAAACAATTCTGAACTTAAAGAACAATTACATTCTGCGAACCAAAAAATCGAAGAGTTACAAAAGAGCTGAGGAAGCAGAAAGAGAAAATAATGAGGATAAGAAATGACAATATTTGATTAGTTGATGTATTTTTGAATTTTGAAATTTAAAATTTGAAATTTGAAATTTGAAATTTAAAATTTAAAATTTAAAATTTAAAATTTGAAATTTAGTTTAATTTTAGTTGAGTGATTTGAGAGATTGTTGTTTGTTTCTATTTTTATTGCACGTTGTATGCACGTAGTTTTTTTTATAAATAAGGTTGTATGAGACTGTTGAAAATCAATGAATTATTGAAGAATGAAATGAAAAATTGCATTGGCTTAATTTGGTGTGAAACCGATGGGTGTGAAACCCTAGGCTAGTGCTTGTCGTTTCTTTCCTCAGCCGCCACACAAACACCGTTTCTCTTCTCTGTTCATCGTCTTCAACCTCTCTTCTTACTCCAAATCACCACCACCAGCCACTTCCCCTCCTCCTTCCCTGGCTTCTCCACCCGCAGACAGCCCCGTCACCAGACC